CTTAGACAAACTCACTCATGTGGATTCACTTCTAAACCACCATTTACGAAAGAGAAATAGTTTGAAGAATTGACAATAAATATGAGAATCAAATACAAAGTCAAGCTACAACTGGTTGAAACAGGGATGATCGGACCTAGTTTATATGACATCCAGTCAAGTGGTGCTAGAATCATCTATTGTCCATAAGCTATCTCGTCCCTGGTAGGGATCATTGTATAAAATTAGTTTTTAAGTTGTCGACTCTGCTCGACATGTAAGCAATTTGTGAGACTAGGATAATTAACACCCTTGTCTTATGTCCATGAGCTCCCTTCATAGAGGAAAATCACTTAGATAACCATTGAAATTTGTTTGTAGTCATTTTCTTAATATGTGAGTAGACTTTCTTAAATGATTTGGATAGAAGGGACCCCTCAACTGCAACATCTATAATCAACCTCAAAGATCCCACCAACCCATTGTAAAATGTTAGATAATTAGTTAGTGAGGGCATGGTGTGGACACTCCCTGTGCCTTTATTTAAACCTCTCTTAAATTTTCTCTCTCTAATTGAGTGAAGGACGTGATCTTTTGTAAGTTTGGCAGTCTTGAAAGGAGGAAATTATTGGGCCAGAAATTTTTTTATTAGATTGTTGCAAGTATAAATCGATCATGGTGCTAAGTGGTATAGTCACCTCTTGGTTTTATCCATAAGTGAGGAAGTGAATAGTCTTAATCTAACGACGTCATAAAAGACACTGCTAAACTTAAAGGTGGTACACATCTCTAGTAAACTAGCCACATGGACATATGGGTTTTTTGTTGGCGATCCCCCAAATTTGTTGGTTTGACTCATTAGGATAAGTTCATGCATATGTTCAATTCTAGGGGCTTTTATGACAGGATGTTTAAGGCTTATGTGAATTCTGGCTAAAAATAGGTTGACACACTCCTTAAGGGGTTTTATGTGATTGTCCTGAGGATTCACCATCTCTGAATGTGCATTTGTCAGTTTTTTAGTTCTCCTAAGTTGTCAAAAGGTTGGTTCGACTTCCAAATCGAGCGGCAACAGTTCTCCTAAGTTTTTCCTACGCATTGAATAACGGTTGTGCAAAGTGTCATCCCATGCTAACATAAGAAAAGTGACAAGAAAAACAAGAAATAAACAAAGGGCAACACATAATGAACAAAAAATATGCAAGTAATTTTTTTTATTTTTGGTTTTTAAGTTTTGGGGCACCTCCAACAAGAATGACAATGCGCATTCAAGAACAACACAATATGACAATAAAAAGCAGAAAACAAGGAACATAAAATGTTCAAACCTAAACACTAAGGAGGTGTTTGGTAAGATAGTTTTAACATGATTTAAATATGGATTTAACTTAAATCCACCAAACACCATAAATAGGTTGCATAAATCCGTTGTTAAATCCAATTTTTGCTCGTTCCATTTATCAAATCCACTTATTAGTTGAATTTAGCTTGATAAAAAAATATTTCAAATAAATTTATGCTAAGCACATCACATGGATTTAACTGAATTTAATCTTGATTAAACCAAACATTATTTTAGATTTAATAATATTTAGAATTGATAAATCTAGATTTATTGGATCTACTAGATCTTTTAAGCTTAAATCCTATTTGCAGGCAAACACCCTCTAAGTTCAATTAAAATTCTTCTAAAGCCGGAAAATTTTACACTCATTTCTCTGACAACAGCGCCAAAAACTTGATGTCGGAGATTGTTGCGAGATAAGTTGGTCAATCTTGCAAATATACATGTTGATCTGTAATATAAGAATTATGAGTCTGTGTATCGATTCCACTAGAAAACTTGTCAAAAATTTTCTAATATTTAAAGTTTTAGTTTACTAAACATGTGAATCTAGTTTGGAAGTATCGTTGCAGAGATGAAAGTTCTAAAATTCTACTGTCGAAAGAATAAAACTAAATTAGGTTTTGTCAAATTTTTCAGGTATGATGGTTGACACGCTTGTGACATTGGTCTTATGGTTTTTCGACATTTTTCTATGAAATTTAAGCTGTTGTTGACAATCAGGGATATGTTCTCCTTAGCATAGGTTTAGGTCATAAGAATAGTTGAAAACTATATTATAGTTAAGGGGACTTGATTATGCAACATTTTGTCCCTTATTCAGGTTGCAATTTTCTAATTACAATACGTCTATTTCGCTAGATTATTGTGTATTAATATTATTATTTTTCTAAGTGACGATTAAATGTCCTAGATCATAATGTATTTTAACATTTTATCGTGTCCGATTAAAAATAAACTAAGGTAAAAAAAGTAACATATCACCGTATGAAATTCATGCATGGAAAAGGCGTTTTGGGAATAAGAAAACACTAAAAAATCACACGTCTTACATCACATGAGTATGAAAACGAGATTAACAATAATGCATAAGATAAGAATGCATAAAAACTTTTATTGCCGACGTAAAAAAAAAATATAGTGCAAGAGGTATAGAAAACTCACGCCCGAGCTAATCATTTCTTGTAATACACTACGATTCGCTCCGTTCAATATAAGATATTCGAAGATCTCCTCTTACACAATTGCACTCAAGCTCTCCTCACAAACTCTCAATACTCATAAAGAAACCAACCCTAGGAATCCTCTCCAAGGAGAACAATTGGAGAAAATCCTAGGATTGACAACTCTTATTAAGTCTCGAGAGAAGCAGCCTTCAACAACCAAAGAATCCCTCCTATGATGACACAACAACAACATATACTTATGTGCTCAATTAAGGCTCCAAATTAGGTATTAAACTCTTTCAAATTTATCAATTCGCGTAACCGAGATAACATGAGTGGCAGACAGTTACGGGTGCGTTGTTGGACCGTGCGGGCGTGCTGATCCATGGGGGGCGTTGGCACATTTGCTTTGTGAGCGGGTATGCCACCTACTCGGGAATGGGGCGGGATGCGTCGGTTTTGGGCAGGGGTACGCTAGATCAAACTTCATTCTTTTCCTCTTTTGGCTCCCAATTTGCCTCTTTTGCTCCCGCTCCCTCAAGCATGTAAAACACAAGAATATCTTTCACAAGTGTAATGTTATCATAAATATACAATAAAACATAAATTTATATAAGAGAAAATCTCACATATTTCTTCCACATCAAAATAGATAAATGATTCGGCTGTAAATCGATTAATGGGAGACAGTCACTATCTCGGACAAGTTATAATCGAAACACCTCATCGCCTTCGGATACAACTCTATCAAAGAAACATCGAAAGTTGACGACTGTCCTGAATAGAAACATATGCAAAACTAGAAACCTAAAATGAAAGGAATCACATAATTAAGTCCTAGATAACTAGGATTGAATTCTCATATGGAAAGGACACGCCGAACCCACATGGAAGAGTTGGTCGGCCAATAAAACGGGAATTTGGATAATGGAAAATCTCACTTTTTTCATCCACATCAAAGTAGATGAATATGTCAGCTGTAATTCGATCATTGGGAGACGATCACCACCTCGGATTAGTTATAGCCAAAACACCTCCTCGTCTTTGGATGCAACCCTAACAGGGAAACATCGGAAGCTGACGGCTGTCCTGAACATAAACATATGCATAAATGAAATCCTAAAATGAAAGGAATCACATAAATAAACCCTAGATTACTAGGATTGGATTTCCATATGGAAAGGAGGCGCCCCCCATGTGGAAGAGTCGGTCGGCCCTCCTAGGTTTAGACCGGTTTGGTCCAAACAAACGAAATTGCGAAACGTGAGCAGCTCCCTATTACGCTGCAGGAAGTCGCGGCTAACCACGTCGCGCCTGCATCAACATGTAGAACAAGGAACCTCCATTGCCCAAGGATTACCACTTTACCAGAATTCAACTAAACGTTTTAAATGACAACTTCTAGTGTTATCTTCTTTTATTAGAAAGGCTCTTGCTTCATTATTAGCTAGTTATCTTTTTGATGGTGTTTAGTTTTTTATTTTTTACCTGTCAATTTTTCATAATTTCTTGATGTTGTTCTCATTTATTGATGGATCATATATATTTTTTTCTTTTAAAAAAAATGATATCCATGATGATCATTTTTTATTTTTGTTTGATTATGTTGGGATCATTGGCCATGCATTGAACTAAAGTTTATATCAACTCAAATGTTGATGTCTAATTCACTACAGTGGACTAGTACTTTCTTTCTTGAATTCAAAACAATGAAATCTGGTCATGCAAGCCTGTTTAGGCAGTGGGATGGGTGCGTTTCCATGCTAATGATGAAGATTTTTACATTATAAATATTCCATGCTTTTCATATTATTGAATGCATTAGAGAAATTGTTTACCGTGCTTGAAGGGCACTTCTGAGCTATATAGTTAATCTGCAGTAAAAAATTGAGTGATGAACTAGTTTTTTATGCTCTTTTCTATGAACTTCTTCGATTTCATTTTGGCACAAAATGATCAATTTTTTCCAAGTAAATCTATCAATCATCAGTCTTTCGGCATACTTGATTGATTGATTCATCTTGCATTTTCCTTAGTGTTGTGATTCGAGCCAGCTCGAGCTCAACTTGTTAATGAGCTTGTGATTTAAGCTTGTGTTTGTTGAGGCTTGGCTTGTGAGCTGGCTCGACTGGCCAGTTTCGGTCACTTTGATACCTTCTTTGGTGAGGTGCCGCGACACTTCTTTTTTCTCACAATGAATCACTTATATGGCTTCTCCGGCAGCAATATCATTTGAGCTTGCAAGGTTTTTGTTAGTACCACGAGCCAAGCTCGAGCTTCTCATTTGAACTCGATACAAGCTCTACTTGAGCTAGAGCTAGAACTTAGTATTTTGCAAAGGAGTTGAGCTTATTATGACTCGTTTGCACCCATAATCTTCTTTATTATAATAAATGGTCTTAATGTAATATATTACTCTGGACTTTCTTGCAAGTATTTTAATCAGGCTACAACTTTTTGTCATTGTATTTTAGAGCTTGTATTTCATGGCTCTGATACTTGTTTTTCAGGTGTCTTTCAAGATTTTAGCAGGCACACTCTCGAGACTCTCCATTGATCCAAAATCTGTAAGTCATCTACTAATTTCTAGCTGTTAACAGAACTATTTATGCGCTTCTGTAGATTTCTTTAGCCGTGGTTTCTAGGTCTTCATAACTTTCATGTTCATAAACATGTGTTTTTTTTTAGAATTATTTATGTGTGGATTCAGGTTGGGTATACTTGATTTCATGTTAGTGTATGATCATACAATACTGCAAGCATATTTTTGTGAACTGTGAATGCTTATTACAAAAAAATTGAGATTTATAGTTTTATCAGGTTCTTGGACATTTAAACACTTCTTTAAGATAATTTTAGAAAGTAAACACGACCAAGAAACTATGGATACAACATGAGACTTGTTACACTGCAGGTATATGGATTCGACCTGTCTCAGAAAACTAGACATGTGACTCAATTTTGGGGCATGGAGAATAAATATTAAAGTAGTAAATAATGATGACAAATACAGGAGGGGTTGAAAGAGATTGTTTTATAACTTATTTCAATCTTGTCGTTTTTCCATGCAATTCTTTTGAGAGCCAGAATGCACTGTGTGATAAAACTTTTGAATTGCTCATACTGCTGGTACAAGACTTGAAGTTTGGAGAGGGCTAAATCTTCTCACAATTAATTGATAATTAGTTGTCATATTTGAGTCGTCACAAAGCAAAACACACTTTCAGATATTATTTGGAGACTTCTACATCCCTGGCTTACAATTTAAGGCTAAATTCGTGCTGATATTTTAAAGCTTAGATGGCAAGTTAATGTTCAAATTACATGGCGCGTGTAAGATTTTCCTGTTTTCTTAAGTTAACCAAATTCATTCTAATCTTTAAACCTTGAGAATTATCTAGCTTTTGTAACTGAACCATCAGTGCATCACAGGGCTCATTAAGTCCTCAAAATATTATCTGTTGCTGTCATTTAGTGGTAACGTTAGTAATTCTCAGGGTGCTCGCTTGGTGCTTAAGCGGGTGCACTCAATTCTTCTTCCTAGACCACCTGGTTTTTTGAAAATTTGCACTGCTTTGTTGACCTCATTTTCAGATGAGGTCTTCACTTCAATTTTTAGAGCCTAGGGTGCTTTAGGCTTTTCTTGTTTGACCCTCCTAGAAGACTAGTACGGAACCCACACCATTTAGAAAATTTGAACCACCTCGTCACTCCTTCGAATTTTGCATCGGCGGTCCCAATTCCTCGGCATTTTTTTGTGTTGGTTATGTTTGACAAATAAAAAACATTTCCACCATAAATAGAAGCAGCCTCTAGGAAACCTCTTGGTGACCCGAACGTTCGATAACACTGCATTTTACGCACGCATCGCACCCCACACAATTTTCACAATTTTGGCTTAAATTTACTTATCCGTCGGCAAACTCGTTCGGACGACCCCGGATGACGAAACAGACCGCGTCGACGCTTCTGGAACGTCGACTTTAGCTAGAAAGGACATCCATATTGTTGTGGTTCCACACTCACGCGAATTGCACGAAAATCGATGCACGTTTCTTTTAATTAGCGGGGCACGGGTTCGGGTTCAGCTCGGGCTCAAGGCTGAACACAAGCCAGGATTATTTTAAATTTCAAACTTTTAAAATTCAATATCTTAATTAGATTTTATTAGGGGTTAATATTTACCTAAAATAACTGTCCCTGTATGGAAGGCATTCAATAGTCCGCTCAATGCACCTGTAACAACTATTAGAGAGGTGCGGGATAGAAATCCCGCTATATGTTTCCTTTCTGCACTCAATTAGCTCGCCCTCTCCCCGCATCGAAGCCGCAGACCGCTTGCTCGATCCCGTCTCCCGCACCGAAGCCGCAGACCGCTCCGCTCGATCCCGTCTCCCCGCGTCGAAGCCGCAGACCCAGCTCTCTCGCCTGCTCGCCTGCTTCCTCTCTCTCAACCGAACTCCTCGCCTCTTTCTCGACACGTCACCTCGCCTACCCTTTTCACTCGACAGAAGAACCCCGCTCGACCAGCTCTCCTTCGAAACCCTGCATCTCTTCTATCGGCTGAACGACGACTCCTCTTCCAGCCTGTAGCTGCTCGGCGGAAACTCTTCTGCTCAACTCTTTCTCGCCAGCTCAGGAAGCATTTTTTTTTACTCCGATCAAGGTCGTTTTTTTATAGTTTTCTTGGCTCTTACAAAGCTTGTATGGCTAATTCCGTGAATTGAAGTGCCTAAATTTAAGAGATTTGCTTATATCTTTTACATTAATCTTTTTTTTTACCATGAGATATAATGATTGAATTACTTAAGCCAAGATCATGAATCCCTCTACACTTGCCCATATGCAGATTTTATAGTTCCTTTAAGCTCATCCTTTTGCTTAGCTCCCGATGCTAAAAATTATATATTATTTTTTTATGAAGGCTTTCATATATATTATACATCATTGCATATTTATGTATGTAACACCTAATCTTTGGTTTTAGAATGGAAACACCTTTCTTTTATTAGAAGGATGTCTTCGCATGCTTAAAGATTTACACACTGATTTTGAGTGTCTTGTGAGCTTGTTTTGGGGCTTAATTTTGTTCCATGTTGCTGCCCCCAATATTTAAAACACATGTTGAATGTAATATTTGGTTTTTGGAGGCCTTTGAGCTTGTTTTGGAGATTTGATTTTGTTCCATGTCGCTGCCCCCAATATTTGAAATGCATGTTGAATGTAATATTTGGTTTTTGGAGGCCTTTGAGCTTGTTTTGGAGATTTGATTTTGTTCCATGTCGCTGCCCCCAATATTTGAAATGCATGTTGAATGTAATATTTGTTTTTTTTAAGTCTTTTGAACTCGTTTTGGAGGCTCAATTTTGTTCCCGGTTGCTGTCGAGTATTTGAAAACTGCTGTAGGAAGCAGTTTAAGCCTTAGAAAGTGTTGACCAGCGTTTGGAGATCCTGTAGGAAGCTGTAGGAGAGCCGGGAGAAGGGTTTAGTTACTGTTTGGAATGTTTGGAGGTCATTTAGTTGATGTTTTGAGTGTTTGAATGTCATTTAGTTGCTGTTTGGGCCTGCTAGTTGCTGCCCCGAGCTGTAAGAGCTGTACTGTTTGGAGTGTTTGGAGGCCTTTGGAGGCCGTAGGAGCGCTGTTGGAGCCTTAGGAGTGCTGTTGGAAGTTTAGAAAAGCCTTGGGAGTGCTGCTTGGCTTTAAATTTGTCGTTTGGGAGCTGTTTGAGATGTAAGACTGCAGCCCGTTGCTAAGGTGCTGCCCATTGCTAATTAAGGGCTGTTATGAGTGTTTGGAAGCTGTAGAAGGTCGTAGGATCGCCGTACAAACCTGCTACTTGCTGCCCCGAGCTGTAAGAGCTATAGGACCGCTGCCAAATGCTTCTATTTGCTGCCCAGTGTCGTAGGAAAATCATCTAGTGGCCGCCCACCACGATTTGGGTTCGTAGGAAGCCACCTAGTAGCTGTCAACCACCGTTTGGGTTCGTAGGAAGCCATATAGTACCTGTCCACCACCGTTTGGGTTCGTAAGATGCCACATAGGAGGCCTTTTGAGCTTGTTTTGGGGACTTGATTTTGTTCCATGTCGCTGCCCCCAATATTTGAAATGCATGTTGAATGTAATGTTTATTTTTTTGGAAGCCTTTTGAACTCGTTTTGGAGGCTCGATTTTGTTCCCGGTTGCTGTCTAATATTTAGAAACTGCTGTAGGAAGCAGTTTGGGTCTTAGAAAGTGCTGACCAGCGTTTGGAGATCCTGTAGGAAGCTGTAGGAGAGCCGGGAGAAGGGTTTAGTTAATGTTTGGAATGTTAGGAGGTCATTTAGTTGATGTTTGGAGTGTTTGAATATCATTTAGTTGCTGTTTGGAGTGTTTGGAGGCCGTAGGAGCGCTGTTGGAAGCTTAAAAAAGCCTTGGGAGTGCTTCTTGGGCTTTAAATTTGTCGTTTGGGAGCTGTTTGAGATGTAAGAGTGCTGCCCATTGCTAAGTAAGGATTGTTAGGAGTGTTTGGAAGCTGTAGAGGGTTGTAGGATTGCTGTACAAGCCTGCTATTTGCTGCCCCGAGCTGTAAGAGTTGTAGGATTGCTGCCCAATGCTTCTATTTGCTGCCCAGTGTCGTAGGAAAATCATCTAGTGGCTGCCCATCACGATTTGAGTTCGTAGGAAGCCACGTAGTAGTTGTCCACCACCGTTTGGGTTCGTAGGAAGCCATCTAGTAGCTGTCACCACCGTTTGGGTTCATAGGAAGTCATCTAGTTGCTGTCCACCACTGTTCGGGTTCATAAGAAACCACATAGGTGCTGCCCATTGCTGTTTAGGTTCATAGGAACTCATACAGGCGTTATTCGATTGTCCACCACTGTTCGGGTTCATAGGAAACCACATAGGTGCTGCCCATTGTTGTTTAGGTTCATAGGAACTCATACAGGCGTTATTCGAAATTCCTAGCTACTGTTCGGGGGCGTAGGATCACCGTACACACTTGCTAGTTGTTTACCGGAGCTGTAGGAGATCGTAGGATCACCATACTAGCTCGTTAGTTGCAGTAAGGAGTTGTAGGAGACCTTAGGATCACCCCTTTTGGAATTCTTAGCTGGTACTACAACTTGTTCTACTGTTTACTGTTTTCTTTTCTTTACAATTTATTTAAAATCCCTGCAAATTATATTGTGCTTTGTGAGTTAAACATACAACAGGAATTGCAGCAGCAGATACGCCACGTATGCAGATACATTTTATTTGTTGTTGTTTCTTTATTGCAATTACTTTTACTCTAACACATTATGTAGGTACTGAATACAATCTCACTTTCGAAACAAAACAATTTTTTTCAAAATTAAACAACATTTTCAAAATAAAAAAAACAAAACATAACACATTCTTTCGAATTTACGGGAGCCTCTCGGAGGAGGTAACACACGGTTGCTAACAAGATCTCCCCGGTTCTAATGGAGTTTCATAACTCGTTTAAACTAAGTAAGTTCAAAAGAAAATAGTGATACCGGAACGAGAGAACCGTGAGATCTTAACCGGTGTCGCTTTAATCAACTTGAACCCCCTAATGACAACCAACTGAGACATTTAAACACACATGGTAAAACTGTTTGAACTTTAGACTTTAGGATTGTTACTGCGACAAGTTCAGGAAACCTTTTGAACTCGTTTTAAAATATTTGTTTTTTTGGACTGTTACCGTGGGATCCAAACCGGTGTCGCAGTAACAGTCCTAAAGTCTAAAGTTCAAACAGTTTTACCGGGTGTGTTTCAATGTCTCAGTTTGGTTGTCATTGGGGGGTTCAAGTTGATTAGAACGACATCGATTAGGATCTCATGGTTCCCTCGTTCAGATATCACTATTTTCTTTTGAACTTACTTAGTTTAAACGAGTTATAAAACTCATTTAACCCGGGGAGATCTCGATAGCAACCATGGGTTACCTCCTCCGAGGGACTCCCGTAAGTTCGAAAGAACGTGTTATGTTTTATTTTTTTTATTTTGAAAATGTTGTTTAATTTTGAAAAAAATTATTTTGTTTTGAAAGTGAGATTGTATCCAATACCTGCATAATGTGTCAGAGCAAGACCAATTGCAATAAAGAAATAACAACAAATAAAATGTACCTACATACGTGGCGTATCTGCTGCTGCAATTTCTGTTGCATGTTTAACTCATAAAGCACAATATAATTTGCAGGGATTTTAAATAAATTGTAAAGAAAAGAAAATAATAAACAGTAGAACAAGTTGTAGTAACAGCTATGAATTCCAAAAGGGGTGATCCTAAGGTCTCCTACAACTCCTTACTGCAACTAACGAGCTAGTATGGTGATCCTACGATCTCCTACAGCTCCGGTAAACAACTAGCAAGTGTGTACGGTGATCCTACGACTCCGAACAGTAGCTAGGAATTTCGAATAACGCCTGTATGAGTTCCTATGAACCTACTTCCTACGAATCCGAACAGTGATGGACAACTACTAGATGACTTCCTATGAACCCAAACGGTGGTAGCTATTAGGTGGCTTCCTACGAACCCAAATCGTGGTGGGCAGCCACTAGATGATTTTCCTACGATACTGGGCAGCAAATAGAAGTAATGGGCAGCGGTCCTACAGCTCTTACAGCTTGGGGCAGCAAATAGCAGGCTTGTACGGCGATCCTACGACTCTATATAGCTTCCAAACACTCCTAACAGCCCTTAATTAGCAATGGGCAGCAGTCTTACATCTCAAACAGCTCCCAAACGACAAATTTAAAGCCCAAGCAGCACTCCCAAGGCTTTACTCAGCAGCACTCCCAAGGCTTTTCTAAGGCCCCAACAGCACTCTAAGGCTCCAACAGCGCTCCTACGGCCTCCAAACAACAACTAAATGACACCCAAACACTCCAAACAGCAACTAAATGACATTCAAACACTCAAAACATCAACTAAATGACCTCCAAACATTCCAAACAGTAACTAAACCCTTCTCCCGGCTCTCCTACAGCTTCCTACAGGATCTCCAAACGCTGGTCAACACTTTCTAAGGCTTAAACTGCTTCCTACAGCAGTTTTCAAATACTCGACAGCAACCGGGATCAAAATTGAGCCTCCAAAACGAGTTCAAAAGACTTAAAAAAAACAAATATTACATTCAACATGTATTTCAAATATTGGGGGCAGCGACATGGAACAAAATCAAGTCTCCAAAACAAGCTCAAAAGGCCTCCAAAAACCAAATATTACATTCAACATGCATTTCAAATATTGGGGGCAACAACATGGAACAAAATTAAGCCCCAAAACAAGCTCACAAGACGCCCAAAATCAGTGTGTAAATCTTTAAGCATGCGAAGACATCCTTCTCATAAAAGAAAGGTGTTTCCATTCTAAAACCAAAGATTAGGTTTTACATACATAAATATGCAATGATGTATAATATATATGAAAGCCTTCATAAAAAAATAATATATAATTTTTAGCATCGGGAGCTAAGCAAAAGGATGAGCTTAAAGGAACTATAAAATCTGCATATGGGCAAGTGTAGAGGGATTCATGATCTTGGCTTAAGTAATTCAATTTTTATATCTCATGGTAAAGAAAAAGATTAATGTAAAAGAAATAAGCAAATTTCTTAAATTCAGGCACTTCATTTTACGGAATAAGCTATAGAAGCTTTGTAAGAGACGAGAAAACTAATGGAATCGGGTAAAGTAAACGAGTTATAAAAAAAACGACCTTGATCGGAGTAAAAAAAAATGCTTCCTGAGCTGGCGAGAAAGAGTTGAGCAGAAGAGTTTCCGCCGAGCAGCTACAGGCTGGAAGAGGAGTCGTCGGTCAGCCGATAGAAGGGATGCAGGGAGCTGGTCGAGCGGGGTTCTTCTGTCGAGAGAAAGGGATAGGCGAGGTGACGTGTCGAGAAAGAGGCGAGGAGTTCGGTTGAGAGAGAGGAAGCAGGCGAGCAGGCGAGAGAGCTGGGTCTGCGGCTTCGACGCGGGGAGACGGGATCGAGCGGAGCGGTCTGCGGCTTCGGTGCGGGTGAAGAGATCAGCAATCTGCGGCTTCGATGCGGGGAGAGGGCGAGCTAATTGAGTGCAGAAAGGAAAAATATAGCGAGATTTGTATCCCGCGCCTCTCTAATAGTCGTTACAGGTGCATCGAGCGGGCTATTGAATGCCTTCCATATATGGGCAGTTATATTAGGTAAATATTAACCCCTAATCAAATCTAATTAAGATGGAATTAGGAGGTAAAATTTGAATTTTAAAAGTTTGAAATAATCCTAGCTTGTGCTCAGCCTGTGTCGAGCTCGAATTGAGCCTGGGCTGAACCCGAACCTGTGCCCCGCTAATTAAAAGAAACGTGCATCAATTTTCATGCAGTTCGCGCGAGTGTGGAACCAATGCAATATGGGTGTCCTTTCTAGCTAATGTCGACGTTCCGGACGTGTCGGTACAGTCCGTTTCGTCATCCGGGGTCGTCCGAACAAGTTTGCTGACAGGCAAGTCAATTTAATCCAAAATTGTGTGGGGTGCGATGCGTGTGCAAAATGCGGCGTTATCGAGCGTTCGGGTCGCCAAGGGGTTTCCTAGGTGCTGCTTCTATTAGTGTAGAAACTTTACTCGAGTTTCATGTGTCGATCCTAATCAACTCAACGGAATTTGGGACCGCCCATGCGAAACTCGAAGGAGTGACGAGGTGGCTCGAATTTTCTAAATGGTGTGGGTTCCGTACTAGTCTTCTAGGAGGGTCAAACAAGAGAAGCCTAAACTTAGACCCTAGGCTCTAAAAAGAGAAGTGAATACCTCATCCAAAAATGAGGTCAACAAATGAACCCCTATAGGTGTGGTGTGCGAGACAAGCACATCGCGTGTATTGATGTTGACCGAAGCGATCAACAAAACCAAAGAGTCCGTGTAAGTAGACCAACTTAGAGCGGACCAGATGTTGAATTGGATTTAGCAATCGAACTCAAGCTGGGGTTCCGACTCAGGAAATCTTAGCTCGAGAAAGGCTTCAAGTAGAGAGATGAGAGTTTCCGCTGGGGATTTGAAGGTGCGTTTTCAGATTGTGAGTTTGAACTTTGAAGATTCGAATGTTGATTTGGTTTGTTTTGATGTTGTGTGGAGACCTGGTCAAGAAGTAAAGCACAAGGGTGCATATTCGACTCAAGAAAAAGTGATGAAAACCTTTGTCGCATTGGGAAGGAAGGCACGCGGACTTACATCCAACCCAAGTGAGTAAGTGAATGTCGAAAGAATGTCTGCTACAGTGAGGCGGAAAACACGGGGTCTCACATTCGGCCCTAGCGATAGCGAAGGTATTAAATTCGCGGAGGATATTTGTTGGAAGGAATCAGGTTAAATAGGAAATACTAGGAGACTCGTATCCAACCTGAGAGCTGATCGATAAATGTCTGCTACGCTGTGGACGATAAATGTCTACTACGCTAGGGAAGAAAACATTGAGACTTATATCCAATCTAAGGTGTAGTTGGAATGTCTGTTACATGAGTTAGGAATGTGCTAGGACTAAAATCCAATGTAATAGGTGATAAAGTGATCAGATTGAGAGGGAATGCTCTGAGACTGATTTCTAACTCAAGAAGTCTGTTACATCGGAAGGCACTGTGACTAATTTCCAACCATACAGGTAGCGAAAATGCTTATCACATTAGGAAGGAATACGTTAGGACTAACATCCAACCTAAGTGGTGACGAAATGATCAGGATGAGTGGGAAAGTACTGAGACTAATTTCCAACTCAAGAAATCTGCTAGGAAGGAAGGCGCTGGGACTAATTTTCAACCCTACAGGTAGCAAAGATGTCTATCACCTTAGGAAGGAATGCACTAGGACTAACGTCCAACCTAAGCGGTGACGAAATGATCATGAGGAGTGGGAAAGCACTGAGACTAATTTCCAACTCAAGAAGTTTGCTACATCTTGCTACATCAGGAAGGAAATCAGGAAGGAAGACACTGGGACTAATTTCCAACCCTACAGGTAGCAAATATGTCTATCACATTAGGAAGAAATGCACTAGGACTAACATCCAACATAAGCGATGACGAAATGATCACGATGAGTGGTAAAGCACTGGGACTATTTTCCAACTCAAGAAGTCTGCTAGCTACATCAGGAAGGAAGACACTGGGACTAATTTCCAACCCTACAGGTAGCAAAGATGCCTATCACATTAGGAAGGAATGCACTAGGACTAACATCCAATCTAAATGGGGATGAAATGATCAGAAGTAGTGGGAAAGCACTGGGACTAATTTCCAACCCTACATGTAGCAAAGATGTCTATCACATTAGGAAGGAATGCACTGGGACTAACATCCAATCTAAGCGGTGACGAAATGATCAGAAGGAGTGGGAAAACACTGAGACTAATTTCTAACTCAAGAAGTCTGCTACATCAGGAAGAAAGGCGTTGAGATTAATTTCCAACCTTACAATTAGCGAAAATGTCTATCACATTAGGAAGGAATGCACTGGGACTAACATCCAATCTAAGCGGTGACGAAATGATCAGAAGGAGTGGGAAAACACTGAGACTAATTTCTAACTCAAGAAGTCTGCTACATCAGGAAGAAAGGCGTTGAGATTAATTTCCAACCTTACAATTAGCGAAAATGTCTATCACATTAGGAAGGAATGCACTATGACTAACATCCAACCTAAGCGATGACGAAATGATCAGGAGTGGGAAAACACTGGGACGAATTTTCAATTCAAGAAGTCTGCTACATCAAGAAAGAAGACACCGAGACTAATTTCCAACCCTGCAGGTAGCAAAGATGCCTATCACATTAGGAAGGAATGTACTAGGACTAACATCCAATCTAAGCGATGTCGAAATGATCAGAAGGAGTGGAAAAGCACTGGGATTAATTTCCAACTCAAGAGGTCTGCTACATCAGGAAGGAAGGCGCTGGGACTAATTTCCAACCTTACAAGTAGTGCAGATGCCTATCACATTAGGAAGGAATGCACTATGACTAACATCCAACCTAAGCCACTGGACTTGAATCCCAACTCGGAAAGCACTGGACTTGAATCCCAACTCAAGAGCTGATCAGGAAAAGAATGTCTGTTAAACTGGGGAGGAAGGCGTTGGGCCTGATTTCCAACTCTTAGAGGTAGCGAAAATGTGTATATTGTAGGAAGTTTGTGCAAATTGTGTAATTATGAAATTTTGTGCATTTCATAATGACTATAGTTTGTCCGTTGATGGGCAGAAAAACAAAAGAAAGGTGCAGTTCTGTAGATTAAAATCGTCAGACCCTTTCCGCAAGCTATCGTAGACTTGAAGTCTCATCGAAATTCCATGAACAAAGTATGAGAGGACCCAGAGTTTCTATGGTAGAAGATTTTGGGTCAAGAGATGACAATGATGATAGGCCGAGGAGGTTCAACCTAACAGGGTCAGGATTGGAACGTGGTTCCGGATTTAAAATGTTTTGATTTTATTTGATTTAATGTTGTTCTGTTGTGGTTTAAAATGTTTAATTTAAGTTATTAAACTTAATTTTGTTCACATCGTTCTTTTGTCTCTCTGTTTTGTTCAAAACGGGACAAACTTGTTTCAACGGCTATTAAATCAATCACACAGAGTGACAGCTATGAAAACGTATTGATCTTCTGCAAGTTGTTGAAGAAAAATCAAACTTTGTTAACTTTGCTGAAATTGAGTACAGTGATACAAGATAGGATAACATCATCTGTGTCGTAGTCATCAAATCATAGCAGTAGCATCTGCTTGCGCATCTTCGGAGTTAGGCAGAGACTAACCCTTCTAAAATACATTCCAGAACCGGAGTCCCTTTATGTATGCTTAGAGGCGTGCTGTACCTAGGAGGTCACAACTCCAAAGGTCGTAAGCCCTCCAGGTCTGGATCAGGTCGATACCCAAACGGTGCCTTACTATCATCCATCTTTCTGAAGGTTATTGAAACTCTTCTCCGCGGAACTCCCGGGATACAGTGTCTAACTAAATCTGCCCCATTTCCTTTAAGTACCAGGACTGACCCGAGGGGTAAAGGAATTTCAGCTGAGCCTCGAAACTCTCCTGGGCCGATTGTCTGTAAGTCACTGCCGAACAAAATGTTGCATTCACTGATGAACGAGATGGTGCTGGACGGCCTTAGAAAATCATGATGATCGATATGTGGCGGGATGCAATCCCCCTTTTCGTAAATGTTTATTATGCAGCTATTAGGCACGCAGTTGGCAGACAATACATGCCACAACACCATTTTCTGGATCATCCTCTTTATAATGGTTGGTATCAGAGCCATCTCGTCGTGTCTTATAATCCCTGGGGGATTTCCTTCATTATCATATGTGAAGTTATAACAGCAACCACACTGAATGGTGATCCGTCTTTTTCCTCTCATCCATTTCTGAGGCTCAGAATAAGTCCTTTTTCTTAAGCGACCTGCTCGGCCCAGGTCTCTGAGATAGAAGACATAGTCAACTATCCCCCTTTGTTCACTCTCAGAAAACACGTCGGTATGTAATTCATGTCCTTCAAGAATGTTGATATATTTTCCCTGTATCTTTTCACGATGTTCAAAACGTTGTTTTCGGACCTTCTGGAACATCTCCAACTCTTCCTCTGAAATTATTTGAACTTCCTTAGCTTACCAAGTGGTAGGACGTATGGCTGAATGTCTTGGACTTTTTCATTCTCCTTTGCAGTTGGGAGAGCTTCTTGAACTATATGTGTTACGCGCGACGTGGGGGGCGTGTATTTGGCGAGTGTGCGAGTTTCGTTGGCTTTCAACTCTTGACTGGTTTATTGCCCGGAAAGGTAAGGTACCCTTGACTGATTGCTCCAGTAACTCTTCTTTTTGCATGGTTAGAAGATCTTCTATAACTGGCTCACTTGATTGTTTTTCTTCTAGACGGGCAAGTACCCTGTGCTTGCGGCGAGCGAGGTTCCTCCGTTGTGAACGTGTCATGGGATCTTCCTCAGAGGGGCACTGATGAGCTCACCCCCTGCTGTCATGACCATAGACCTTATTTTGGTAGTCTCCTGCACTGGACCATCATTAGTTTGAGCTACCTTGCTGACTTCTTCAAGTTTCCTCTTCTTTGTGAGTATGTTTTCCTGCTTGCTTCGGAACTCTAGCACAGGCTTCTGATCTTTTACCTCTGCTTGATTTTCCGGCAGAAAACAGGAAAACAGCTTCTTGCCCGTTCAGTGCGAGATTAATGTCGTTTTTTAAGGAGAAAATCAGCTTCTTGCCCGACATTTTCCTGCAGAAAACAGGAAAACAAAGAGGTCAGCGTGCTGAATTTCAACTTAAACGAAAACAAAACTCAGTTGTGATTGCTTTTTTTTATTATGATTATAAAGATTCAGAACTCAAATTCAAGATTTTGTGAAAAGTCATTATGCCCATTTTCATTTTTTAAGTTGTGAAATAAAAGATAATTTATTATTGGACCCAGTCATAGACAACTATCACATCTTTGTTTCTAAGAACAAGATTGGATCTTTAAAACATCAAGATGCATAATATTTCTTTCAATATCTCTCGTTTATCGGGGGCATAGGCCTATCGCCCTGACAATCTTCCAATTGATAGGACCCTCCAGAGTAAACCTTCTCAACCATGAACGGTCCCTCCTAAGTCGGTTTGAATTTACCTCCTATTTTGCGGTGTGCAAGAATAGGTTGTCTGAGTACAAGGACCAGATCACCGACTTTAAACGTTCTTGGGCAGACCAGTTTGTCGTGGGCCTGTATCATCTTCGCTTGGTATAACTCCAAATTTTGTTGCGCTAATAGTCTTTTTCCTTCGAAATTTTCAAGCTCTTTGAGTCAGAGTTTGGCGTTCTCTTCTGTTATTATCTTGTTTGCCACCGCTATCCTGAGGGACGGGAGTTGTACTTCCATGGGAAGCACCGCCTCGGCTCCGTACACGAGGGCGTATGGTGTGGACTGTGTAGGAGTTCTAAACATTGTTCTGTATGCCCACAAGCCTTCTAGTAATTGTTCATGCCATCTACCCATGGAATATCTTCAATCAATGTCGTGTCGTTTAACGAAACTGTTAATTTTGATGCTTTTGAAAGCTGAACCGTTGTCTGAAATGATTCTGCGTGGGGTGCCAAAACGATATACAATCTGATCTTTGAAAAATTGAAGGATGTGATGTGTTTTGACTTCTCTTAATGGTACCGCCTCCGCCCATTTCGATAAATAATCTGTTGCTGCGAGTATGAATCTGTGGCCTTTTGAAGACGGAGGGTCTATTGGACCCACTATATCTGTACCCCAACACTCGAATGGCCACGATGCAATTGTAGGATGTAGCACATTCGAAGGTTGATGCAAGACCACTCCGTGCACTTGGCATTGGTGACATTTCTTAGCGGTTTTCGTGCAATCGGTCATCATTGTTGGCCAGTAGTAACCCAGTCTCTTGATTTTCATTATCATTTTTGGGCCTGACTGGTGAGCTCCACAAAGTCCTGCATGTGTTTCTTTGACAATATCACGTGCTTTTGTCTGACTCAAACATCGTAACCACATTTGATCGAACGATCTCCGGTACAAGACATTGTCCACTATGGCATATGACAAGACCCTCTTCTGTATCTGATGTGCTGCTGACTTATCATCCGGTAGTTGCCTTGTTCGCAAATAGTCTATAAACGGTTGTCGCCAATCCTCTGTAGACTCAGTCACTGCTATCAATGTTTCTTCCTTATCTTGTCTATGGAGAGTATCCATGTCAATTTGGGATAGGATCTGGAGTCCTTGAACTGTTATGTCGATGGAGTCCTCTTGTGCGCATGTAAATTCCTTAGTGAGCTTGGACAGAGCATCTGCAAGAGCGTTCTCTCCCCGAGGAATTCTATACAATGTCACATTGAGAATCTTTTCTAGTAATTTCATCGTGTAGCGGTGTTACTGTTCCAATTTGGGCTTGAAGATCTTGTACCGTCCTGCTACTTGTTGAATTATGAGTTGTGAATCGTCGTAGATGTCGATGTCTGTTATGTCCATTGATACTGCCAACTGCAGCCCTGTTATTAGTGCTTCGTATTCTATTTCGTTGTCTGTACATGACTCTGTTAAATGGTAGGAAAATCTTAACATTCCTTGATCCGGTGTGATGAATATTAGTCTAATTTCTGCTTTGCCGGGCACTATTGTTTGCATTCCTTTATCTTTCCTTGTTGATGAAGCTCCGTCAGAGTACAGCTCCCAACGTTGAATATTGGAGATTTCCAGGCTCATTATCTGTTCGTCTGGCAAGTCGTTGTTGAGAGGAAATTCGGTCGGTAGTGGGTGCGCTGCGAGAAAATCTGCTAACACTTGCTCTTTAATGGCGCGAAGGGACACGAAGGTTATGTCGAACTGCAACAATATTATTGACTATCTTGCCAACCTTCCAGACAGTGTCGGCCGAGTCATCAAGTATTGTAGCGGATTAAATCTTGAAATAAGGGTGACCTTATGAGAAAGCATGTAATGTCCGAGTTTTTGGGCGGCGAAGATTAATGTCAATCAATGTTTCTCAATAGAAGGATACCTAACTTCCGTCGGAATTAAACGACGACTAAGGTAGTAGAGAGCATTTTCCTTATCTTCGTCGTTAACCTGGGCCAGCAGGGCCCCGAGAGAATCGTCTAAAGCCGCGGTGTAAAGTATCAACGATCTGCCCGAGACTGGTGCCGCTAGTACTCTGCAGATATAGTAGTGGATCGTCTCTTGCCACTACTCATCTTCAGAGGTTTTTCATTAGCAGCGACAGGTGGTATTCTTGGACCTAGACGAGACTTGACTGATCTGTGCTCTGTAGGTCTTGAGGAAACGGTAGTAGTATCTATAACAACATCAACTGTGTCTATGTTGTTTCCCAGACGAAGCTTGGCGGAAATGCGGGACGGCGGTGTTTCCTGACTAGTGGGTTCATCTCTCTTCAAAATCTCGGCTCGGACTCAAGGTGAAATGGCGCACCCCATCCTTCTTATTAGCTCGACAACGGAATAGTGCTCTTTTTGAGCCAGTCTTTCGAAAACTAGGCGGGTTTCAGTAAAAGGTGCAGGTTTCTTTCCTTTTTTGTTCTGATGGAGAGATGATGACGGTAATGCAACAGCAATCCCACGACCGCTTCCCTTTCCAAGAGTGGGAGACAATGGGTGAAACCTACTCCCTCTGAGGAGAGGTGAGGTTTCAGGAGGCCCTGTCTCCTCTGGGAGAGGATCTGTCTCCATGAGAGCTACTTTTGCAGTTCGTGCCTTCTTAGCCTTTAACTCTCGTCGGTTACGATTCCTCCTCTGTGATCGGGTTAATGGGACGGACTTAGAACTAGACCCAATCTCAAACACAGGCGGCAGTGAAACAAAAGTATCAGTCAAATCATCCTCGTAAAGAACTTCCTTCCCCTTAGATGGAGGTTGGGCAACAATCGTAGTAACTGCAAATCCATGGTGGCAACCTTTTCCTTTGTAGGGATGACAGGCTTGACGAGAACTTCCTCAACCCGAACTTCCTTTAGCGGGGGAAAATCAAACTTGCAATTCAAATTGTATCCAGCTAAGGGTTCAGCTACTTCCGTTGGGGCAGACCTCATGAAAACGTAGGGTGCCTTCCCAAGTAAGACTTCGACCTCATCAAAGCCCGTTCCAAACTTGATCTTTGAGCCTTGATGAAGAGAAGCCTTATCTAGAAAGAAATTGAGGCAGTTGGAGAACGAAAAGATCAGCTTGGGAGATGAAATTGTCTCTGTCGTTCAAATATTTCAAAGTGTCGGTTAATGGCCTATGCTTTGTAATTCTAGTACAAGTACTAAAATCAACAAACAACAAGTTGTCTTATGAACTGGGCATTTCGTTTAAGATGTTTGTTTATTCACAACCATTTAAGATGTTTAAAGTTTAAGTGAGAATTATGAGAATGAAGTCCCAACTTGACTTATTCACAAGCATTCAGACTCAAAAAGGGAAATGAAATGTAGGACCCGGTTTGAAATTAGGAGGGGTGATTTCGCATCAAACTCGCTTTGATAAATCGCTCGCAACCTGCCACACACCTATTGGGGATCCAACCCATATTAAACCCTAAATGATCCGGAACCATTCTGTTTAAAGATGCTTAAAACAGATGGTTCCGCAATCCAAAGAAGTTGGCTATACCTGCCCAAGAAAGAAATGAGCGAGACACGCCAACGAAAGAATGATAATCTGGCCTATGAGGGGCATAGACACACTAACGATGTATGAAGACAAAACCTTCTGATAAAAAATGGAGAGAGGAACTAGTCCCAGCGGAGTCGCCAGAAATTGTCGGTCAACTTTTCGATTGATTATTTGAAAATATGGATATGAAAATAATTTTTGAAATTTAATTTAATATAATAGATATATAGTTTGAGTTTTGAAAGTAGCATGTTTTAATTTTTGAAAAATGAGACCAAATGGATCTCATTTGTCCAATAGTTTGCATAATTGTGCCCGATACCACGAATACTACACCCTCCCAAAAGATAAGTGTAAATCTCGGCGATAGACCCAATCCTGTAAACTAAGAGAATATGAAAATAGGTTTTAAAATTTAATTTAATATGAGACCAAATGGATCTCA